GAAGACGTAGTGGCTTGAATGGCTCCTTTGATTTTTTTTCCTCCAAGATGTCAACTTTCGACGGCACTTGTCGTTACTATCAAAAACTTCGTCTCTTCTTGAGGAATAACGATTGCCTGCTGCTTTGACCTCGTGTTTAGCCCTAAATGTAATTTATCTGGAAGTTTCAAGCAAGTTCGTCACTTAATTTTAGAGACTGCTCAAGATTCAATTGGTCCACCACTTGCTCGATCGACTGAAAACGCTCTCGAGTTTTTGTTCCACAACGCTTTGGTGAGTTTTTGAGTTTTTTTGGATGAAAAAATCGTGAAAAGCTCTAATAACCCTAAATATGCCTCATACAAACTAATGCATAATTCAAAGCACCTAAGTTTCTATGCATCTTTTGATGTCAATTTAGACTCATCTGCTGTAAGTTAGGCTAACTGCATGCTTCAAAAACAAGTGTGAAAATGGAGCGAAAAAGCGTGAACAACTTCTAGTTTCGAAAAAAAAATAATTTCGAGGTTTCCCAGCGGACTAAAAATTTTACTAAATCATCCTTTTTTTCAAAATGAGATAGTTTTATCGCAAAGAATGTAAAACATATGTTGGTCTGAAAATTGAAAGAAGTTAAGGGAATCTAATTTTCGAATTTGAAACACGATAGCTAAAGTTATCAAAAAACTAATTTTTTGTTATGTTTCCTTGCGTTCATTGACTCCTACTATTATTGACAGATTAAATCGACCTTGATACACTTGCGAGAGCAAGTGTCTTGTAATCGGAAACTAAATATTTCCCTTAAACAACATTTTTTACACAACTGCATGAAGTTGTTAAGTGCTTTATTAGTAAAGCTTAGCACCTTCGGGAAAAATTGATTTATCGGACTTTCGTTTGTCTGCTTAAGTTTTGTCGACCAAGTTGTCACATAGTAGAATTTTCTGTTGCTGTCAGCAGTTATCATTAGATTCAAGTGTTTTCGATTTAACTCTGTAAATTGTGTAATGATTACCTACAAATTTTACAAACGACAGATTTTTACAGTTACGCCTTAATTTTAAGGTACTTCTTAATTACCTCTTAATTTTAAGATACCTCCTAATTTTAAAATTTTACCTGCTTCTTTATGTATTCCTTAGCTTTCTTTTTTTTCCGCTTCAAAACTTTATTCGGTCTAAATTATTTCAACTTTTATTTTATCGGCTTACTTACTTCATTTTGTTTCACTTCACTGGCAAAAAACGAAGCATGATTGAATTTGATGCAAATTTCGGGTAGTTTGAGTTGCAAGAATTCAAAGTTTCAAAACTTGACTGCCTATAATTTTTTATGATAACAATTTCTGATGCGTTTTCTTGTTTTCGGCCCAATGGGTGACTAGCCACTTGTCGGTTAATTGGCTGCTCGTTAAATATTAAACGATTTTTAAATACTGGTGGTTGTGTTTTTCAACTGTTTTTCTGAAACTATTTTCATTTTCCCATTGTTTTAAATTTTGTTATTTCTGTCTCTTTTTTTATTCGCTAGCTGGCTATGCTGCCCTTGCGTTGAATGGCACGTAATTAAAAGCTCCGCTAGGCCTCTGTAATTGATAATTTTCATCAATAAATTGAAATTAATTTTGAATACATTTATAAAACAACTGCAAACTATCAGCAAGAGTCTGTGCTTTGACTTGCCTGAGAGCTTTCTGAGTTGGTTGGAGCGTAGTTTAATCATACGATTTTCAGGAGATAACTATATTATTTTGGGGATGAAACGGCATGTTCGCTCAAATTTGCGAGGTGAGTTTTTGCAAGTGAGTCCTAGCTAAAAAAGCGATTGTTATATACGCTTTTGTCAACTATACAAACTAATTTCCTGGTTAGGCCTCCCGCTTAGGCCACTGATTTTTTCAAGCTTGCCACACAAGAAGTTAAAAGAAAAATTACAAAAATTATGAACCAAAACTAGGGAACTAGATTAAAACAAGTATTTATTCACAACTTTATGTTCTTCACTGTAAAATATTAATAACTAACCAATCAAGATGCATAACTAAAACTCATTCTTTATTGCACTACTGAAACTACTTGCAGTTTGTGGTGCGTCGTCGCTTAGATTTAAACATGACGTCAACAGTGTGCTAGCTATTCGTGCTAAATTCCATTATCTGTCAAGGTCGTGACCGACCTGCCAGTCCACTCTAGTCTTAACATCATGCGCTCTCTATTCATTCTCTACAACTTATGAAAGATTTAAGTTGTATTTATTTCATTGTCATGACATAATTTAAATATTAAACTATCTATATTATTTATATGATTATAACATAACAAGGAGAATTGATTCTTGTTTTACAACTGTCTTTCGACGTTTCACATGGCGCAGCCAGCAGTTTCGACCTCAGAGGATCGAACTGACCTGTTGGGCGTATCCGTATTTTGGCATAAACCAACTGCGGACCCACCACATAGCTGGGATTCGTGGATAGGTCAATTCAATTTGGCAATCACTCTGAGAGAGAGATGTGATCCACGCGAATTATTAAAACCTCCGGGTGTCGTACACGACGATCCTGCTCCAAAACCAGAAGTTGTGGGGGCGGATGAAGATGCTGCAGCAATCGCAAGTCGTATTGCACGCAATGACGCGGCGGTCCGGAAAGTCACGGAAATGAATGAAGAGCGCCGGGCGAAAGGTCCCCGAGTTGCACCAGGAGTGTATTTATTCGAGGTTGAACAACGTGTTAAATCTCGTTTATTTTTCTCGCTCGGCTCAGTAGGGAGGAAAAGATTCCTCCAAAGTTATCCACATGCGGATCTGAGCGAGTTATCGTTTCGGGAATTCCATGAATTCTGTGTTCTCCTGTTCAGAAAGGAGAAAAATTTCATCATCGAACGTATGCAAATATACAACGCGGTACATTCAGACCGAGAAAGTTTGGAAGCATTCTATTTACGTTTGACGGGACAAGCCGCCCTGTGTGGATGGACAATCGATCAAGAAAAGGAAGTCGTAAGAGATATCTTCATTGCCAAAATGAGATATAAGGATATTCAGAGAGAATTGTGTATTCATCCAGGTGCTACTCCGGAGGATTCTCTGAAATCAGCTTTACTGCAAGAAAAGGGAGCACAAACGGCCACCGATTTGCAAAGGCAACTCGGGAGTTTGTCGTCGACGGGCAATTATTCCCAGGCAGGTGCCACCTTGGGTCAGAATTCCCGGATAAAACAGGAACCTACCTTCTCTGTCCAGGGTAAGAAACTTTCGGACAGGATTAGTCGGGCACAGAATAGTAAGCAAAAGGGGATCAACGAGAAATCGAAGTCGTGTTATTTCTGTGGTAACAGGTTCTCAACAAACCACAAGCAGAGTTGTCCAGCCAGAAATGTTACTAGCAGGAACTGTTACAAAAAGGGTCACTTTGCCAAATGTTGCAATTCTAAGAATGTAGCGAACGTGGAAGCTGAGTCAGATGAGACAATGGAAGAAACTTGCATTTTCATCACGTCCGATAGTGAGTCGGAATTCACTGTTTTATCTGTAGCAGCAGAGAAACCAAGTCTCCCAATTAGGTCAGTGAAAAAGTTGGAGGTGGTCAATGCCGCCACGGGCAAGTTACGTTCCATCCAGATAACACTACGTTGTGGCAAGACGTTTTTCAAGGCAACAGTGGATACTGGGAGTCCAGCCTCCTTCGTGAATAAGAAGACAGCAGACTATATTCTGAAAACGGTTCCTTCAGCCAAGTTCTTCACGGTTCAAGAAAGTCCAATCGATACAGTATACGTTGACTATAATCGGAAGAAAATTGAATTGATGGGTACGTTAATTATGGATGTATCATCTTTGGGATGGCATATCAAGTCTGCAAAATTCCTTATTTCAGAAAATCGAACACGTTGTTTACTGGGTTTGGATTTGCAACCCCAATTGGGAGTAAGAACAACGCAAGTTAGACCAGTTCGTCCTCTGGTGGGAGAAGTCTCCCAATCAAACCCGAATTTAACATCGGATTCATGAAAATCTCACTTCTACCAGAAGTTCCATCGTGTATTCAGTAGAATCGGCAAAGCCAAAAACCACAAAGTATTCTCTACGTTCAAGTCTCCACTCGTCCCGATTCAAGAAAAGGGAAGGAGAGTGCCGGTGCATATTCAAGATAAAGTTGGTCAGGAAATCCAAAAACTAATTCATGAAGGGCACGCGGTTAAACTGAATAAATGTACCAGTGAGTATTTCATCTCTCCGATCGTTATTACGGCTAAGAAAGATGGTTCTGTGAAATTAGCTATGGATGCTAAACCTATGAATGACCAAATTCATAAGAACCATTACCAAATGCCGAATTTGTTGGAACTATTGGACTCGGCCGCCAGATAATCACGTCGGACATTTCAGGAGATGTTTGGTTTACGTCCTTAGATTTAAAATACGCCTTCAGCCAGATTCCGCTCAGTGAGGAAGTTAGTCGTCATTGCAATTTTAATATCGTCTGTGGAGAACAAACTGGCACGTATCGGTTCAAAACGGGGTTTTATGGACTAACGGACATGCCAAAGGAATTCCAAAAAGCGATGGATAATACTCTCCAGGGTCTGTCAGGAGTATTTTGTTTCCTTGATCATATTCTGATTGTTTCGAAGGGTTCAGTCGAGGATCACAATATCCTTGTAGACAAGGTGATAAGTCGTCTGGTTGAAGAAGGTTTTGCTCTGAAATTTTCGAAATGCGAATTTTCTTTGAATCAATTATCTTGGTTAGGATATGATATTGATTCAGAAGGATACAGACCGAAACGTTCTAAGATAGAGGCAGTACTTGCTCTGGAACCACCAAGGACACTTAAACCACTCCGTTCATTCATGGGCATACTCAACCACCTACAACGATTTTTGCCGAATCTTCAGGTCCATTCCGACCAATTACGCCCGTCACTGACGGCAGGTAATAAAAGCAAATTTGTGTGGGGGGAATGTCAGCAAACGGCTTTTAAAAACATCTTGCAGTTGATAGCGAACATAACAAAAATGTATCACTATGACCAAAGTCGGAACTCGCGGGTGAAATGTGATGCCAGTCATAGTGGTCTGGCTGCTGCATTAGAAAGGGAGATAGAAAAGGATGTTTGGGTGCCAATTGCTTTTGCGTCACGCTTTCTAAACGATCAGGAGAAGAAATACAGTACCAATGAATTAGAACTTCTAGCGATCGTATGGTCGTGTGAGCAGTTTCGAACGTTTTTGTTAGGAAATCATTTCGTGATTTTAACTGATCACAAAGCAATCATATCTGCGTTAAAGACGAACCGCGGAAACAAAACTTATCAGTCACGTTTAACTAGATGGGCTAATAGGTTATTACCTTTCGATTTCGATATCTTCCATATCTCCGGCTGTAAACTAGGAATCGTGGATTACTTATCTCGTTTCCCAACATTTGAAGCACCACGACCAAGCAGTTTTGACGAACAATATGTCGTCAAATGCATTAGTCGATTCTTTGATGCGTGTGAATTTTTGGACGGTTGGGCCAGGCATTACACTTCATCTGAAGAATTATCCAATACCGCGGAAATAAGTCAGGATTATGTCGTATTGACCAAATTAACATAATTGAGTTATTGGAAAATTGTCAGTCTCGGATCAATTGTCCCGATATCGACAGTTCAATTGTTGCATCGAACAAATTTGGAAACATACCGGTAGAGGGCGCCTTAATTCAAGACATTAAATCTACATCGAAAGGTTTATATTCGTTAGAGAGCGACAAAATTTTAGCCATTACTCAAATTAATTTCTCCAAACTATCGATTCCTTCTCCGCTAGAGGGCGTCCAACGTGTTGGCTCATATTCTAGCCAATCAGCGTTGAGTATTATCATGCCGAATTTTGCCACTTTCTCAGCATGGATCACATTTTATCTGCCAATTCTAATTTCATTGTGGATTATTATTTTGGCCGTAAGCGGTTGTCATCTGTTGTCGTTTCTAATCGATCTTTTTGCATTGATTTCGTCATATCGGATTTGTTGGAATGCAATTGGATTATTGAGTGCTTTTCATTTTCAGACTGCAATGAATCCCAACACAAGTACCAACAACACAAATGACAGTTTCGAGCAGTTGTTAAACCAGTATCTGCCAGTCACTCAACATTGGTTCTCCTCAGATAGAGCCAGGCCATGGTTTCGCGCGGTGGCTGTTCGACCTAGAAGATCAGCAACAGTTCAACGAGGAATGGAGCTGAGGAATCAATACGCCCGTATTCTAGCGAATTTCAGGTCCAAACGGGGCAGGACACCCGTTATATCGAAACAACAATCTCAGTCAGTCAACAGTCTCGAAATCTTAAAGTCACCAGTGGTCGCTAAGGACCAGAAATCGTTAACCGGACTGGTGGGAATTCTGGATTCAGATGTATTGTCGGAACTCACGGACGAAGATGCCAGTTTAAGCCTCATGAAACGAGCAATAGTCAACCGGGATTACGAAGGATTTTGCCGTATCGATTCCTATATTAAATCATTTTGGCATTGTGCAGCGGTAGTTGATGGCTGTGTTGTGGTGGATAATAGGATCGCTATTCCCATGTGCCTACGTAAACCTTTGTTATCTCGACTTCATAGATCGCGTCCGGGTCAGTTAGCAATGGTTGACGCAGCGCAATACATCTGGTGGCCCCGAATGCATCGGGACATCGTCCAACCATGCAAAGATTGTCCTCAGTGCACAAAGTTTGGTAAGAATTTGAAAGCGAACGCATCATTTAATTCATCCAAGCCTTTACCTCTTTTATCTGGTCCTAATGAAGAGCTGCAACTTGATTACGCAGGCCCTCTACTTGACTCATTTGGTAATAGTATTTATATCTTGGTCGCGATCGACCGTTACTCAAAATATCCGTCGGCTATGATTACGCGTTCCACGGGAGACGGAAGATCATTAAATTTCTCAAATCATATATTCAACAGCACAGTATCCCCAAATCAATCAAAACAGACCAGTACTCCGGTTTTAAAAATAAATTAGTGCAAAATTTTTGCCTAGGAAAAAATATCGCACAATATTTTTGCCCGGTGGGGGACCATCGTGGTTGTGGTTTAGTCGAAAAGTCGATACAATCAATTAAACGTCGTTTGGGCGCCTCACGGTTAAGTTAGGTTTTTTCAAATGTTTAGGATACTCTTAGGAATATTATTGAAGATATCCGGGTTACAAAAAATTCAGTTACCGGGTTCTCGCCGTTCGAACTTCATTTTGGTCGTCCTCCGAATACGGAGCTATCTATAGCGGCTGATCGCTTATCTTCGGGAATTCATTTAGACAACCAACGTTTGGAACGGGACTTGCTCACACCAGAGCAGCGACGGGAGCAGTGTGATAGTCGACCAAGAATCAAAGTCGTCAAGAAAGGGCAATCAAGCCCGATGGTGTCTCCACATTTTGGTGGAACCACAGACTCAGTAGCGGATACACCCCACTACCGTGCACTGGAGAGCTTGTCACAATCCGCAAACCAGTGGTTGTCGTTGAAAAAGTCTCTGACGCATCAGGAGGGAGTCAAAGCTTTGAAGACCCTGACGGAGAGAAATCAAGTCCTCGCAGCCACTCTTCGATCGAACTTGTCTGCTGGTATCCTCAGATTCAGGAACCAAATGCCAACGGAACAAATTCGCCCTTCGTTGCCAAAACGTAATTTGGACTATTTAGTATTGAACGAACCAAATAAGGTCGAAATATTTAGGAAATTTCTAAATAGGAAGTCTGGCAGAGAAATTTTCAAACCCAAACCTTATAAGGGCAAAATCGTGCGGATCACTGAATTCACATATATTTCTGATAAAGGAAAAGTTATTAGAAGGAATCACTTGGCAGTACGTCTTAAATCAACCCAACTAAGTTTTTCAGGAAAACAACTAACTCCTGTGAAGAAAGGGCAGAAACGCCCAATCGTGCCATCTTCAACAGCATCATCGGAAGACAATAGGCCTCTCAAACAATCGGGTTTCAGACAACACAACGTATTTCAGCGAAAACAGT